GCTTGCATTTCTTGGGAATATTTCCAGAAGTTCGGGGAACTGACAGGGAAGCAGCATTTATAATTTTTTCGGTAAGATAAAGGGTCGCTTCCTCAGGAGACATAGCTAAAAAAACAGCGGGATCAACCACTGCCTCCAGAGAAAATAAAGCCCAGTCGGCTTTATCTAACTTCCACTTGGGAGCACAAGCCCGAAGAGAAGGAATGGATACTGAACTTTCTAAAATTACAGGAAAATGGTCACTACCGAAAGGATTTTCTAAAACCTTCCAAGAAAAACAAGGAAGTAAAGTAGGTGATGATATGGAAAGATCAATGGAAGTAAAAGTATTATGAGGTGCACTAAAAAAAGTTGGTTGTCTCTTGTTTAAAATTATATTTGTAGAATAAAAACGTTGAAGGCACAGTGGATACAAGGTTTACAACTGTTCAATACGCTCCAAGGACCATTAACCTAGGATGGACGTAACATTCCTCCCCTTAAATAATCAGATATAAAAAAAATTATTTTATTCTGAAGCGGCATCTTAAAGTGACTCCAGAAAAGGTATTGACATGGGACTATACTTTGCTGACCTCCAAGCCGACAGTGCGGTGGAAGCTACGCGCTCGTTAAACCAGTCATACGGCTTTTTTCCGCCACATGATCATGCTACCGCCCCTACCCACGCGCAGAGAGCGGGGTCAGGTGATGAAAAGGGAGCTTAGGGTTGAACGGAGCCTAGAGGATGCTGACCTTTCAGGGATATTTCGGTAGATATAAAACAAATTTAGAGGTTCTTGCGATATTGCTTTGAAGGTGCACAATACATCTGAAGGAGAACTGCAGTGCATCCTGGGTTGAATCATTTCCAACCTAGTGAAGAGTTGCTTAGTTAGCACAGCTTTATGTTAAAGGAAAAATAGCAATTCTATGTAAAAATAATTTCGGGCTTGAAAACGTCCAAATTCAACTTCAATATTTGCCTCACAATAGACCGATAACACCAAGCGAACTGCGCAGGCGCGCGCATTCCGAAAGTGGTGCCACCGCCATGCTACTTGTAGTCATTCCTTCCCGGCTTCCCGGCTACATACGGCTGCGCATACGTACATCATCATAGATTACCATTTGGCACGCCCCGGTATTACCTTGATTCTCTTGCATGTTTTTACTTCCTAAAATTGTGTTGTTTGCGATGCCTTACTTTCCTCAGCAAGTGCAGAAAAGCAGTTTCGGTCATCTTATCGCTTTAGAATCGCTTTGTCGTCTGCTTCTTCGTCTTCGTGAACGCGTGAGCCCACTACCGTTCACAAGGTAATCCCACTGCGGCCGCAAAAAAAAAAAAAAAAAAAAAAAAAAAAAAAAACGACGCCACTACTCAAGCATTCCGACTCCTCGGACGTCTCAATTACCTTGCAAACAAGTGAACATCTAGTGCAATAGCAAAAGAACAAGAAAATTCGAGGGACCATCGGCTCATTGTAGCACCACGGAACAGCACTAAATGTCATGAAAAACTGAGCTTGGTGGTGCTCAGTCTTGTGCATACCGTTTAATCAGCCATCAAGTAAGAGGAGCTAAATAGACTTTCTCGGTCAGCGATAGTTTTCTAAAAGTTTTTTCATTCTGGTTGACAGCCTGTGCGACAGAGTGCAGATGAACAGCTGGAGAAGCCTGCACACAAAGAATTGATCTACAGAAAGGCCATGCCTGACGCGCCGTAATAATCGGCATCTATCAAAACGAAGCAACCATGCCAGATACCTGAAAGTTTGGGGTGGAGATGATTTTTCGTGCAGTTTCTATTCAGTTTTATTTTGTTTGCACAATATCCGAACGCTAACAGTCGCCCGACGGGGGAAGCTTTTTTCTGCGGTCACGACTGGTGCTAGTGCAGAATGGATCAGTAACACCAGCCTAAAAAACCACAAAATGGATGAGGTTCGTTTGTTACATTTTTGGCGGTAAGTACGTGTTGCACTTCTAAATTGCATTATGTAATCTTTTAGCGTTGGTATGAAAAAAAAAAAAAAAATGAAGGCTGCTTCTGAAAAAAAGTTGTTTTATATCCAGTGGTGCATATCGGGAATCGCTGCTCTTTTTTAGTGATTGTCCTGATATTTTCAAGCACAGTTGTGCTTGAAACATGTCGTTGCAATAACAGTTATAACCACCAAAATACACCGAGTAAAAAGCGTATTAATAACTGCCTCCGCAAAGCAGTGCAGAGGTCCTATTTGAGATAGACCTAACGAATAGGCCGCTATGGAGCAAATGGTCAGAGAGATTCCAGCTTACAGAACACTTCGGCACGCTCTATGTCTCGTGCCCTGTAATCTTACATATTTTAGCTGACATACATAATTGGATATAAATTATGAAGCAAATCGCGAAACAAATCGTAAAACGCTATTTTTCCTGCCGTTCTGTCCGGCTCCGTTGACCTTTCTTTGCCATGCTTCTTTCTTGTGGGAAGACATAATATCCGAGGCCTTTTTGCCCGGTGCTGTTATTATAGCTCTGTGACATACAACATGTGAAGCCACCGATTGAAAACCATGAGTCAACACCTGGCTAAAAGTCTCATGCTAACCCGAAAATTTCCAAACGCCGGGCGTACAACGCGCGCCGACGCGGCCGGAAAATTGAGAACTACAAGTACCAGAATGCACCGCGGCAGCGGTGGCGTCGCGCAACTCCTTGTGAGATTGATCTATTAGTATGAGTTTTTGTTTTCACTGGAGGACTCATTTCTTCCTTAGAAGTACAAACCCTGTTATCGTAGCCTACCTGTTACCAACTCCAAGTGAGGGCTTTTACGGAAATCATCTTTCATTCATATGAACCTATTGAACAGCGGACTCAAGCTCATTTGGGTGCGGTGGCCAGATAGCCCACCGGAGAAAGGTTGAGCGCCATCGTAAGCCGGGGGAGGTGGGGGGGAGGGGGAGTGAAGAATTGATCTGTTCTCCAACACGCATAACCTCACTTGCGCATACTCCTTGAGATAAACTCTATTATCGTATAGGTGGTTACAACATGACAAAAAGCTGGGAAGCAATAATTAAAACAAAACACAAAGCAAATAAAAACAGAATAGTAATGCCTATGACAGGGATGGAACTGGGCAAAGCAGCTTTGGAACAATCTTGGGAGGAGAAGAAAACTGCACTTTGGAGCAGGCTGGGACGAGGCCTTGGACCAAGTTGGGAGCAGCCTACGAGTTTTACGATTGTTAAAATAGAGGCTAATTGTAACCTGAGTTTCAAAAGTAAAGAAAATATGGCATGATGATAACCCCAGGTGAACTTAACAATAGTTTCAATAAATGTTTTAGTTGCAAATATTTTTCACAAAATTATGTACAAATTACACAAAGCATGTGAAGCAAAACTGCACATGACAGTGCGACACGTAATAAAACCGACTTGCAAACAGGTAAATATAAACAGGTATAAATAGCTTTCATTGCCCAGCATTGAGTAGTAAGGTGTACCACCAAATAAAATGCAGGTACAAAAATCATTTTAAATTTTTTAATCACAAGAATAATAAATGTCCTTGCACATAGTATAAATCTATTGGGACTTCATCAATTGTTCACAGATACACTTCACGTTTTCAAGATTATGAGCCAATTTCGCATTAGCCTCTGCCAACAGTACTTGTCCGGACTCAATCGTCTCTATCTCCTTTTTTTTTTTTTTCAGATTCAATTTAACTAATGAGTGTGCATGCTCAAGCATAGACCGCGAACGGATGATGTGTTGTTCAAGTTGTCGCTTTTCTTCCTGAAAACGAGTTCTCTTCGTTCTCCCTTCCCTCCTGCTTGGGCTGGATTACTGGCCTCCAGTACCTTGTAAATCAAAAAAATTAATCACTGTTCTTCCTCTTCTGCCTTTCGTCGCCTTGCTCTTTGACCTCTAGCCTTTCTGTGTGAAGTTTATGAGACTTCTTCACAGCTTGCAGCAAGTTTGCTGTCGAAGGCACTTTCGGGAAATCACAGCCAAATCGCTTCAAAGCGCAATCCCAATCTGTCAGCTTGTATCATGCTCCGTCATACGCCTCACTGCTTGTTCGCCTTTGTTCGCAAGTTTTCTGCTTGGGGCAGCAGCACATGTTTTCTCCACTACTCAGATCTTCAAATGAAGCGATTCCAGGACTTCAGAAAAGCATGGCGAGCTTGCAACAACGGTAGCTAACGTTGGCGGCAGCTAATGTTGGCAGCAGCAACCTTCAGATACAGATTTTCGGATTCGGATCCACTGGCGTTCCATTTGGGCCAGAAGCTCCGGTGTCAATGTTGCCAAAAGAAATTGCGAGACGGCTAATTTCAATGAGGCTCGTTTACAGTTTCAGTCTGGGCGCACCTTGGGGCAGGTTTGTTCTTATTTATACTTTTGTATCAGTGTGGCGCATGAAAAGTAATTAGGCGCACAGTAGCGCAATTTACAGAGCAGTTCCATCCCTGCTACAAGAATACATAATTAGAGCAGAGCTAGATTTCGAGCGCAAATGAATCAGCAACATATCATTATGTCAAATGCCATGGCAAGCGCTCAAGACATGGAAACAAGCCAAGGCTCGAAGCCGGTTGCCTGCGGGCCGCGTCCTAGCAAAGCACGGGCCGTGTGTTTGAGACATCTGCTATAGATGATCATGACTGACTTGAATGACTTGAATGTGAAAGAGGATGCTCAAAGAAAGACAAACAATGGCAGAAATTTATCACATGATTTATGCAATTCAACTGCTTGTGGTCAAAGCACACAAGAATGCTCAACAGCTTGTAGAGAAAATAAAATATCAAATGTCCCAAAATGCTTAGCTGAAAACATTCTCCAGCAAAAGTGAGAGAAGCGATATTTAAGCGATCACAATGGTTTGAGTACTATCATGATATGGACAGCCGTCCAAGCACCTGTCCTTCAGTCACCTCGACGATGCTCACCGACAACGGCATCACAAACCCATACCACAGCCATTGACCAAGAACAAGCCTCGTGGATCCCCAGAAATTACTTGGCCTTCCTCTTCGACTTGAAAAGAGATTTTGGTCTACTCAGCGCTTGAGGAATATCTACATTGGTCACGTCAATGTCCAACGTCGTGTCAGAAGGCGGCTGCACGTCGTGCTCCACCACCGTCCCCGTGAAGGCGTCGTCCCGGCTCCGCTCCAGCCTCGCACTCCAGAGTGGCTTCTCCACCACCTCTGGGGGTGCCCTTTCGACTGCCCTGCCCGCACCCTCGGCCGGACTCTTGAGAATCGACTTGGTGGTGCCACTCTCGCTGCCTCCGAACATCCTGAAGATATCCCCGGGGCTCATGACGATGCTCTCGGTGCTCGTCGACTCCGCGGGGGCACAGGTTTCCGCAAGGCTGGTGTCCGAGTGTGAGAAAGTGATGTGCACACTGCTCTCGTCCTGCCAGCGAACCTTGCGTGAGGCAGCCTCCTCGCTCGTAGAGGCTGACTCCCGCTCCTCCTGCTGCTCCAGGCGATCCAGCATCGCCCAGATGTCCTTATCCCCCTCGCCAACCCGCACGTCCTTCTTCGAACGGTGGTAGTTGCGCACGCTCTTGCGGTGCCTCTCGCGCCAGGCTTCCTCCTCAGTCGGGTCGTAGGGCTCACAGATCTCCGCACAGGCGCTCTCCCTGTGCAGCTCGTCTGTATACTTGATCCAGTTGGAACGCTGCTCCTTCTCTTTCTCCAGGTCGCGCTGCATGCGGCGGCACTGGTCGGCGCGGCGCTTGGCAATGTCAAACGCCTGGCGCGCCGACCGCTGGGCGAACCAGTTGTCGCCGAGCAGCACGAGCACCTCGTTGGTGTGCACGAGGCGACCGGGCATGAAGGCGAGAGAGTTGAGCGGCACCATCACCTCGTGAGTGACGCGGTCGGCCAGGGTGTCCAGCCGCCCGCAAAGGGACTCGTAGTCGCGCTCGAACTGCGCCCAGCGCTCCAGCTTCGTGTCGCACGACTGCAGTCCCTTTTGCTGGGACTCGCGCAGTCGCTCCAACTGGTTAGGGTCCATCGACAGCGTTTCTTCTGGTTCGGAGTGGCACGGGAAGGAGTGTCCGATCTGCAAAACGGGCAAGCAAGTTCCCGTCGGCTTTCGCCGGCTCTGTGTCTTCCGTTTGACGCTTGCAACGGATGCTATTTGCCTCGGGGTTGCTGTCGCGCACTTCACGAATGCCGTGGACGGTGAAACAACGCATACATGAGGGCAGGGTGCGTTCGGGACTGTGCGCACAATGTTTCTCGTTCAATGGCCCAGCAAACTCCTTGTGGCTTGTTTGTTTGGAAATAACAATTGCATAGTTGCAGGCCGGGCAAGTCTGGATAAGTCACCTTCTCGAGCTTGTGGCTTCTTTCCCCTTTTTTCGTGATGACCACCACTTTCTTGACGGATTAGATGGGGGTACCGATGTTTCCACCAGAGCCTTCTACGGAACAGGGATCATGACCACATGCATCTATCATATCGGTAATTATATTTATTTTTTAGTAAACGTCCATGCTCTATTTTTAATGCGTGTAAATGGGCTAGGTGACCGTAGGCACGGTACGCACACGCCGAAAATGAAGCACGGGTACCACGCGTTCCCGACCTCCACACGTCGGACGTTTGGACGCTACATAAACTGACATTCATAAATAAAAACGGATGATAATGATATGGGAACTACAGAACTTTGTTCCTAATTCTAAAGACAGACATTTCGGAAGGGGAAAAGCTGATTCTTACCTCATTTAAGATATCGATGACCCAGCAAGCGAAAGTAACTTGCTTGCGTCCCTTGCGTTTAGTGCTCTCGATGACATTGGAGACTCGTTGAGGCGTTGAGGCCGCCGGTTGCTACCCAAAAGTGGTAAGAGCCAAGGCAGTAAGAAAGTAATTTATTGATGTTATTATTTAAATACGCCACAATTAAAATAAAATTTAAAATCAATATATAAGCTTGCATTTTACTTACAAAAGCCCCATTACTAAAACCAGAAATGAAGGAACACAACTAGCGCCATGCTAAACGCTGAGCAGTATGCAGCTTCTAAGGTGTGAGCGGTGCAAAGCGGCAGCAACGGCTACTCGTGGGCTACTCCTCGGCCCCTTGGCCACCTCTTCATTCGTCGACGCGAGCAAATTGTAGACAAGTAGGAAGTGGAAAGTTTTATTTTTTGATTGTACGCCGACAGGACACGTCACCGACATCTGGTTGGTAATGTGTCGAGCCTAGATGCGTGTCTCAAGACTTGTGCTCAGAGCACTGGTACTCGGAACAGCTGTTCAGCCAGCAAAAGCCTTGGCACGCAGGTTCACCTCGAACCCTGCCCAAAAAATGACCAGAACAGTGAAGTACCTGAGGTAAATATACGAGTACTTTACGTAGCTCATCTCATCAAGGCGGCAGGGTGCTAGGAAAGCAGACTCGAACGTACAAAGCTCCATTTATCTTCAATGACTTTTATCTGACCGCGACGAGGTTTAAGTAGACACCGATTCAATCGATTTCAAAAACAAAATAATTAGGCGAAATTTAGGACTGTTATTTCTTTTAAGCTGGCTAGATGTTCTAAAATTGTATAAAGTGCGCATTTGTAGTTGCGGTGCGTGCTTGCACCCACGCTCCTCGCGCGTGGGATGAAGCAGGCGGGCGCCTGGCGAAAACAACGGGCTCGAACTAAATCTCGGAAGCCGTCGACCGAGTCGATACGGGATTCACAAGACCAAAAACCCTCGTCACAGAGGCGGTGAGACCCAGGGAGAGAAGCACGGAGAAAACAATAGAAAAATTGATCCACAGTCCCTCGCTCGCTCCCGCAATTTGACGGCGCCAGGGAGCAGACACCACGTCGCCGCTTGATGCTATCCGAGCGAGGCCCTTGGCCTTCCCGTCCCTCCTCTTGTTCCCTTTGCTCCCTCGCTTTTTCGCCTCCCGGCTCGGCCCTCGGCGCTGCCTTGGCTGCCTCACACGCGCGCGGTCGTGGATCGATGCTTGGGACCGGCACCGCCACGGCCGCGACGGTAGCGCGCTGCACGCTCCCGTCGTCTGCCCGTGCTCCCACCCGACGCTGCCGACGACTCCTAACACCGACCCTCCGCTCCCTCCCCCACTCCTCCAGTTCGCTTCGTTTGAGCCCGAGTAGTCGCCTAATTTAATCCCACCGAAGATTTAAAAAAAAAAGAAAGATAAAAAAAAAAAGTGCGGGGGAGGATGAGGTTGCTTCATCGGCGAAGGGCCGTCGGCGGTGGGCGACTCGCGGCTGCGGCGATGGGAGGGTGTGGTGCGAATGGCCGCTGCTGTTGACGCCGTACTCGTGCGAAGCGGGAGAAGTTGGCATGGAGAAGAGCGAGAAGAAGCCCATGCGGTTCTCTTTTCGACGGCGTCCCAAAAGCGTCAGCGTCGACCGGAGCGAGGCGCACGCCGCCGACGTCAGCATCGGACAGTACTTGGAGAAGCTCAACTACGTGAGGTACGGCCGCGTGGAGGTGGGCTTCACTGCGGGCACGCGCTCGATGCCGGGAAGCCATACGCGCGGGATGCTGCGGAAGGTGATTTCGGCCTTGCGTATCTTCCACGCTTGAAAGCTGCCGTCCAGTGAAAATTTGAACATATCGTTTTTCGGAGTCTAGTCTACTTCTGTCTGGCGCCCATATGAGAGTAGACTGAAGAAATTCAAATTTTGTGGGTATTTAGCCTGTCTGCTACTACAAGTGATTTTACTTTTTAAAACGCGCTGCGTGTTACTGCATTAATAAAAGAACACACCGAGTATAAATACTTTCTTTGATGTATTCTTAATGTATATCCTAATGACTGTTCTAGTTTGCTCCTTCCACTAGCTTCTACCAACTCGGAGTAGAGTGCATTATTTCTAAATTTCATTTTCTTTAAAGAAAGATGTTTGTAAATCTACAAGACGTAACTATCAAGGAGAGAGAGGTGGTTTTAATGAAGCACTTTGTATCAAAACTTTGGTATGGCATCTGTTGAACAGAGAAGTAACTTTGCAGTGGGTACACGTCGGCATCCCATATAGTCTGTTTTCCATTGTTTGAGGCAGAAAAACATATACTATCATAGTACATGCCTTTAAAGTGGTTTTGAGTAGAAATGTTTTAAGCAGGATTAATAGAGCTACATTAGAAATAATGTGACCCCGAGGGAGTTGTTTTGCTGTGCTAGATTAATATCAAGATGCCTAGATCTGTGCATCACATGTCAGTATAAAAAGTAGCAGTCTTTGAATGAACATAACTGTCTGCTTTTTCGGTTTTCTTTATACTCTGGCCCCGAGGCCGGCCCTACATTATCAAGGCCCTAGGTGATCTCCTGTCATGGCACACCCTCCCCCCCCGCCCCCCCCCCCCCTTCCTCCCTCCATTTTTAGAAAACATGAGTACTAGTGACCCAACACGAGTGTTTTGTCAGACGAGAGCCGCATTCCAAAAGCGAACGGCGATCGAGCATATAGCGTTGTGTCGAGTGCTGCGTTCAAATAAATAAAAAAAACTAAAAATATTAAGAAGGGGGCGGGACAGTGCCCCCTTTTGATAGCGCCCTCAGCGACCGCCCACCCACCCATAGGGCCGGCCCTGTCTGGTTCCAGTTGGTATAAGTCTGCTCTGTGTTTAGCATTAACATTTCACCAGACCAGCTTTCTAAATCTACTTGCATCTCGAAATACGAGTTGCTTTGATTTTTCATAGTTGTACACTGTCTGCCAATGCTGTCCAAGTCTGTTTACAATGAAGACAAACACAAAAAAAGACACCAAAGTTATTGCACGCGACTAACGGTACTTCAAGGCCTTTTTTACTATTATACATAAATTCCTTTTCTCAAAGAAACCAAAACCGTTAATCAGATGTCATCACAACAGAGAGGAGTGCGGACGTCCATCCGCAGCATCCTCTATCAGCGACCTGAGTGAAACCGATTGCACCTTGCGGCTAGAACAGAAAGCCGTGGCAGCAGGTTTGCTCATCAACGAATCGCACATTCGCAGCGCCTGACAATCTAAAGATGAAACCGTAACAGTTTGAAAACATTATCAATGAAAATTGTCACTGTGTTCTTGGTTAACCAGATGAGTCTACTGTTAATGCTGGCACCGGTGCAAATGCCACTTAACCCCCCGTTCCACTGTGCAGCCAGGAAGAGGCCATCAAGATTGACCAGGAGCTGTTCTCCGAGTATGCGTACAGCGTAGACCAGCTCATGGAGCTGGCAGGTCTGAGCGTGGCCACTGCCGTGGCCAAGTCGTACCCGAGGGGCCCCATGCCCAAGGGCGGCACTGTTCTCGTCTGCTGCGGACCGGGCAACAACGGCGGCGACGGGCTCGTCTGCGCTCGCCACCTCAAGCTTTTTGTGAGTGTCCGTCAAACCGCCCATTCTTCGTCGTGGCAAACACTTCGTGCCATTGTAGTTCCACGGATTCAAGATGCCATCCGCAGTAGGAGCAAGCATTTTTGTGATGAAAGCAAGATTCTAGCTTATCAATGCGGATTGTGCACTTTAACGGAAGCAAAGTTGGGATTTCTGTCCTGTTATCATTGCCATACCGTGGCTCCCTCAGCTAAATTTACGAAGTTGTGATGTTGCACGACGTGGACACACTGCCACGTGATGCGACATCACCCGACACCATGCGTTGATACCGTGACGTCGCACGACAATGCGCGACTTTATTTTTGGGCGCTTAATATTTCGCGAATTTCGCGAAGTGTGGGTTTTTGGAACGTCTTGCATGCACGAAATTTCATGATCCGTGCAATGTATTCAGTAACATATGGGTCGACGTATTTGCGTAATAAATTTTTTGCGGTATCTTTTATACATTGCGACATTCAAAAAAATGAGGTCCTCGCAAGAATTTAGTCGCTCGCTGCGTATCACTAATGCGTTCTGCATACGGGACGTTTGGGCAGCAGATCAAAAGAATGTCGTAATTTGATTTCAGCATGGTCGTTTTAAGAGGTCCTGAACTTCGTCGTTCGTAAGACATACAAACTCTGGGGCGAGGAACTTGAGTAGCGTGGTTGCTCATTTGCGTTTGAATCCCATGCTAATCGCAAAACTGTAAGGATAACCAGTAAACTAGGGAGAACTGACAGAGGCCACATAGGCCTACTAAATTGGAAGAGGGCTTATATGGGGCCTCAAGTGAGCCGAAGGAACGTTGGCGATGCGGGACCAAGTGAACCTGTCCAGTGAAGAAAGACGTGTAAGCAGGTCAGTCGTTGGAACAAGACCACTTTATGCGCAGTGCACGGTGCACACAACCCAGACTCGATTCTCGAGCTCGCATGCTCAAATGTGGCACACCAGAAAGCGTGCCGCTGCAAGGGAGTGCGTCCCCCCTTCCCAGGGCTACGAACCGTCGGTGTTCTACCCGAAGCAGTCGAACAAGCCCCTGTTCCAGAACCTAACCAAGCAGTGCCAGGAGATGGAGGTGCCCTTCCTGTCCTTCCTGCCGGACTCGCAGCTCGTCAGCGACTCGTACAACCTGGTTGTGGACGCCCTGTTTGGCTTCAGCTTCAAGCCCCCCGTCAGGCCAGAGTTCAGCGACGTCATGGACAAACTCAAGAAGGTCAAGATCCCCGTCGTCAGCATCGACATCCCCTCAGGTGGGGCCTTCCTTCTCTCGGCGAACTGTCTCCCTCGGTTTCATGGTACTGCACTGATTTCCGAGAACAGGTGGTCGTCCCTAGAGCGGAGATGAGACTTCTTCCATCACATTTACTTGATGTGCAGACATGCATTTTCATAATTATTTGCCTCTTGTGATAACATCCAATGGCACTTTGCAAGTGGGTCCAGACATAGAACACCGTTTCATTGAACACCATTTTAGCAAAGCCGTTTCATCAAACGGCATTTCATAGAATGCCATTTCATCCAACGTTGTCTCATAGAACACCATTTCATAGAATGCTATTTCATCGAACGCTGTCTCACAGAACACCATTTCATAGAACACCATTTCATCGAACCCCATTTCACTGAACACCGCGTACTTCAGCGGTAGGAATCCTAAATTTACAAAAGTTTTCTTTTAACACCGGGAAGATAGCAGTGTTATAATATTCATTTTATTTATAAACTTTCTTTTTCCAGTTGAGTGAGCAACTATTGGCGACGTGAGCGAACGAAAGCGTCGCTGTGGTCGGTCCACCACAATAGACCGATCTCACCAACTATACTTTGTTCCACCTTCAGTCCGAGCGCAGTGGACGCCACGAGCCATCCCAGCCGATCCAGCGCCGAAAGAGAAACGCGTGACCTGCCGGTTGGGCAGGGCGATACAGGGAACTCAAGGTCACACGAAACTCTCTCAACGCTGGATTGGCTGGGACGGCTCCTAGCGTCCGCTGCGCTCGGACTGAAGGTGAAACAGAGTATAGTTTGAGTACGCCACCACTGCGGACATGCATCGTGGGAGTTGTAGTCTTTCTGCACGCTCGACAACTCTGCTGGAGGTCTGCGCGAGCAGAGCACGAGGCGGCATGAGCTATCTCGTGAACTGGCGTCTGCCTCCTACGAACTACAGTTATGGCGGCGGCGTCTAGCATTACGCATGCGTGGAACGCTTGGTGTGATCGGTCTATTGGCCAAATGCTGACTTTGTCGTCAGCAAAGGATGTCTTATCGACGGAAATAAGAGGAATGTAAGAACTTCAATTTTGACGGTGTTGGCAGTGTTGCTTTGAGAGCGCTATGATTTCAGGCTTCCACCTTGCCCATGACAGACACCATCGAACTTGTTGTTCACAAGGTAATGACGTCACGAAAGGTAACCGAACGAGGGCGCCACCGAAACAACTCGCCGCTAATAGTAATAAAAAACTTCTTTTTTTTTTTCTATTTTTTTTTTTTTTTTTTAGTAGATTATGACTTCTGTTCTTAATGTGGCCAGTAAGAAACGGGAACACTGAAGACATCTTTTTAAAGCTGTGATCACTGGGTGCAGTAACGAATGCACGTGCTCATGTCGCATAGTACCCTCTTCATGTTGCATACATAAAACAGAAAAAAAGATGTGCCTCCCATCTTTGTTAATTTATTGTAACCAACAGAACCATGAACCTGAAGGATTTTCGACGTACAGTATATATGTTCTTAAAAAGGAAGCTATTCTCCTAGAATAGAATGAAAATACAAGTAAACAGACAAACACAAAATCAAAAAGGTGCAGCAGAGAATAGCCATTTCCCTTTCCAAAAAGTGCCTTTCATGCGTGAAACAATAGGAGGATCAAGTGGGAAAAAAGTGTGTGATGGAGAAAAACCGCTTACCTTGCCAGAAAAGGATAAGCATCCGCTCAAGTTTCGGTATGGTAGCTTCTTTCTGTGATTTAGTAACCAACATTCAGGTGAAAAAAATTGAACGGGGTAGTAATTCTGTCTCTCGTGATTCAAGAGCAGCTTCAAAACTATTTCAAAAGCAATAATAAAAGCTCCAAAAGTACTGTAATGCTCCGAAATTCAGTAAAGCATTATTTGATGAAACGGCATAAGCGATTAAATGAAACAACATTTGATGAAACGTCCACTTATTCAATAAAACGGCGTTCAGCAAAATGTCTGGTACCCCTTTGCAAGCTTGATGGTAACCATAGATCTTGAAAGACACGCACAGTCACTTAGTTACCTGTAGTAGCAATTTTTCAACTGCAAGCAGTGAATTTTCGGATGTTTGTGCCATCAAGGTCAGGCTCGATCCACATTGCCCACTTCGGTGCGGCTACCTTGCAGTTCACCAGTGGTGGCATGGAGGGCAAAAGCAAGACAATGGGTGACGACAGCCTTACTGATAACTAGTGATCTTGAAAAAAAATTATTCCATGGTTCGCACCTTTAGATAGGTCTGCACAGCGTAGAACATTAACTTTTAAACATGTATAGTCCAGAAAGTATGGCAAATTCTTGTTGTGAAGGGTCCTCCACATTATAGGCCACCGGGCACCAGAAATATACAAATTTCTGTTTTGAACAACCTTCAGTTTGTATCGTGCCACTTGTCCACATAGTATCTGGAATGATAGTGTGTGGAATAAATGTGGAATACTGAAAAAAAAAAAGTGTATCTTTATGCGGTAGCATTACATTTCCTGCAGGTTTCCGACCATCCTACATTTCTGAAACTGTGCCCAAGTATTAGAAATGAAAGCCCTTCTTCAGTGCACTTAGATAAGCGCCATCTCTGGCATTTATACGCATGCAAACATTCTTCTAGCACAAACTGTCAGGGTCGCGACATCAGACGCGATGCGCTGGCTTCTACGACGTCGTCTGTTCCCATTTTGGGACCACTTTTGACAAGAGGATAAAAAAGGGAACAGAACGCGGCGAATCCTGGGCGCTGACATCGGCAGTTTTGAGAGAAAGAACGACAGAAAAGCGGAGAAAGCAAGTACACGAAAGGTTAGGCATGTTCGTTTTGCTGCAACGAGTTGAAGTTGCTTGAGCGATTATCAACTGTACAGTCGAATCTCGTTAATTCAGACTTGCGGATAATTCAAACTACCGTAGCATGCAGGTCCCATCTTATGTGCCTCTATGGGAGGAAACTCCTGTTAATTCAAACTTTGCTTTATTCAAACAAATTTTTGGTCCCCCTTGAGTTTGAATTAATAAGATTCGACTGTATATAGTTTTTGTAACATGCGTGATTCAGGTGTTTTCCTGCAAAGTAAGTTAAAAACAAACAAGGTACAGACCTTACGGGTGATGTTTCGCTGCTTCTTTGTGCGTATTAAGGCGTCGCCAGCGACAAGGGCCCGTTGGAACCACCAGCTGGAACCGCCGATGTCCACATACATGCTCCGCAGTTCTGAAGCGGCTTGAATGCACGGGACCTTTCCCTCTAGATTGTATTAACTCTACGACTTTTGATGCATGGACGGGATAGGACGCTAAACACGCTGGTTGAAGACGTGTTCCAGGAGACACCCCGTGCAGCATTTAACCTTGGCTGGCACTTGGCCGTGCCGGCTTATACAGTGGAATCTCGTTAATTCAAACTCGCAGATAATTCAGACTAACATGCAGGTTCCGTCCTATGTGTTTCTAGGAAGGAAACTCCCGGTAATGAAAATTTTACGTATTACTCAAACAAAGTTCTGGTCCCCCTCAAGTTCAAATTAACGAGATTCCACTGTCTATACAGTGCCTCTGCACTGTTAGGAATATTTCACTTTTCCCAATTATTTTTTAAAAATTCCTGGAAAATAGAACATTCATCATAATCATACGTAGGTAGCCTACCGGAAACCTCTTTAAAAGCAATAATTGCAAGCCCATTCTTCAAAGCTGTTTGCTAAATATGTACTATTGCGGACAATATGAGCTGAAACAGCGCTCTGGCCCGTGCACAATGCTACCTGCGCCGCCTGTCGCATCGCCCCACAAACACGGCGCACCATGAGGCCGAGATAAATTCTCACTTGCGCTCACTGCGCCGCTGCGCTCTTCCGGCCGTCTGCTAAGGAAAAATGTTGGCTTACGGAACCACCATCACAATGCGTGTGCTGTGCAGCCCAGTGTTCAGGTTTCCAGCATTTCAAGAAAGCGCCCAAGTGGAAAATGCGTTGTCACGCTCGTATCTCCTCGAGTAGTGCTGCCTGACGGAGCTCCCTTGGGCCCGAACAGGTGCCGATCTGAATATCATTGAATATGTTTGGAGGCGCATCAAGGTAGACGTGTCACTGCGTCCCGTCTACCGCGCCACTGTTGACAAATTGTGAGAAGCGGTGAAACGTGAATGGGAGAGGCTTCAGGCCGAGCCAGACTTTGTGGCCGCGCTCTATGATTGCTTACCAGAAAGGATGATTGAGAGCCGTGGTTGCGGGTTAGAGGAGAATGACGCGGTATGAACTTCTCTCGTAAGTTTTACTGCACCTCAGGACCCCCTGAACGGAACTTCTGCCGAATGCAACAAAGCTTGCTGCTACGGTTGCGACACACTGTTTGATGCCGTCAACCAGCGCATACTTTTGTGTGGTGCATCCATGATCCAGTTGAACTTCCATGCCGACTATTAATCTTTTGTGTCTGACATTGTCCTCTGCGAATATTCTTTTGATGAAGTTTCATGCTCCTTCTCCTGGCAAATATATGACTGTCACACTTTATTAAGACTAGAAATTTGTAAATAAAACACTGGTGCCTTGTCAGCAACTTGTTTTGTTTGAAACTAACTTGTGGGCCCAGAAATAAAGAAATAGTATTTTTGGACCTTTTTATACAAATCAAAGTTACAAAAACCTTCGCAGTGACATGTATGGTTACCATTTTTTTAAACGATTGTGCTCAATGAAAAAGAAGAAAGAAAAAAAGTAAATATCTTGGAGTCGGCCAAAATCCGGTATACAGATTTTGGCCTATACTTTACAATGTCCTACTTTGTGCATTCCCTTAATCAAAGAAAAACAACCTGGAACATCATTTGATGTGACTTTCATAAACAATAATTGCGGCTGCCATTTAAGATACCTCAACATTTTTCTTCCCCAGTAAGCGTTTTTTCAACGTGATTCTACGTGATAGAATGAAGTAAAACAATTGCAAAATTGGGACGACGACTGTAATCTTCTGTACCTTCCCCCCCTGCCGCCCTACCGCACACATGCCCACTGTCGCACACGCCATCTCGCTATACTCCGTTTCACCTTATGCTGTACCGCAGCGAAGGCTAGAAGCGCGAGCTCATAGCATTGGCGGCTGCCCTTGGTGCACGAGAGCTTGTGCCGCCGAGGTGTGCCCTAGAGCAAGGAGCTCGCGCTTGTAGCCTTTCCTGCGGTACAACACAAGGAGTATAGCAGATGGCAGGAAGAGCGCAGTGGCGCAGCGAGCGCAAGTGTTAATTTATCTCGGCCTCCGTGTGTGCCGTGTGTGCAGAGCCAGGCGACAGGCGGCGCAGGTAGTACCATGCGCCAGCCAGAGCACTGTTTCAGCTCGTATTGTTTGTGATAGTACACGATACAGCAATACTTCCAAGTCCACGAATCCACAAAGTATAGAGTTGATAATTATAGACTTGAGCGTGTTGGTAATCTACATTGACTTAAAACGAAAGAAACACACAAGAGGACGAAACAGACGACACAGTCTGTTTCATCCTCTTGTGTGTTTCTTTCGTTTTAAGTCAATAGAGTTGACACCAGCTTGCGGTGGAGCTAGTCTGACGTAGTTCCACCGCACGTTTCTACATTAGATGGTGTTTCACCCCCCCCCCCCCCCCCCATTCTTGCATGGTTAAAAGCCAGGAAGGACAATCGAACAGTCGAGGGTTAATCTCTCAAGCTCTTTACTGCATTGCGAGCCTTGACAGTGGTGAGACAAAACTCTGAACACCAAGGGTTCGGCCTAGTTTTCTGCCGTAGCATAAATGTCACTAGGTATATTGCAAACCTGCCGAGGTCCAGGTTCAACCAGGGTTGGCTTTTTCAAACTTTTAATGCAACGTTCGACTAAGGTCGAGCTATAATGCATGTGCACGGAAATTAAGAATGAGCTGACTCCATCTGGCAGGGGAGGAGGGTAACAAACTGACTAAATCCTCAAAGTATTGTGTATTTGCTTTTATATTGCATAAAAATTGTGAGTCCTTTTCTAAAATCCGACATAAACCACTATGTAAACGGAAGTCGGGCAGCGCCCATCAGATAACCAACCAAACTTCAAGGCTTGACTACAGTTCACAACACTCCCGAGTGCGTCTGCTTCAGGCTGGGACGTGGAGACGGGCGGAGACGCGGATTCCCTGCAGCCCGAGTGCCTCGTGTCCCTGACAGCACCTAAGCGCTGCAGCCGCAACTTCAAGGGCCGCTTCCACTGGCTCGGCGGCCGCTTCGTGCCCCCTGCCCTGGCTGCCAAGTACGAGCTCAACCTGCCCCCGTACCCGGGCACCGACTGCTGCCTGCTGCTCACGCCCCCGCCTTCCTGAACCGGCGCCCAACGCTCTACGCCAATGCTCATGCACCTGGGGGGGCCTCTGGAGACTCCAAGACGCGGTGCCTCTCGCAGCCACGCTCGGCTTCTAAATCCCTAGGCCCGTCGGTGGGGCGGAGTATGTCTCTTGGGAATCGGAATCGTGTCCGAAATATTCTGAGCTGATCCTCACAGATGGTTCCTCCTGGCTGTTTGAAACCAGGCCCACCAATCGTGTGGTTACTTGTCGATTCTCCGACGAGCAGATTTGCTCCACCAAGAGAGAAGTCTGTGGAATTGAGCCTTGCAGCTTAGAAAATGCTTTGCAGCCTAATTGCTTCAAAGCAAGTTTTTCAGGCGTGCCCATGCCGACTGCTGCCAATACCTTCCTGCTGTTCAGCTTGCAACTGTTCTAAGCGTGTGTTTGCCAGCGTGTGAATCATACCGAGAGAGAGCGCTTCACATTGTTTTCATCCCGTTGTACTACGGTTCGTCATAGCACCACGCATTGTTGTTTCTTCCCGTTGTGTACTCTGTCCCACTGGAGGAGAGTTCCACTTGTAGTGTGTTGCACCTTGTAATAATGCAGCATGGTTGCTCACAGCCCTGTGGTTAATAAACCAAGTCACTTTACTGTTATCATGCTCAGATAATTTAATCAATAGTATTTAAAAACGTGGTGCAGTATTTGAAGTCATCAGATGAAATAGGAGAAGAGAGTTGTAAAAGAGCCCCAGTAAACTTTCGAGGGACGGGTTAACTTTATTGTGAAAAAGTGGACCAATGGCTTGGTTCGTCCATAAATGCAAACATTGCATCAGTGGTCATTAGCTTTTGGGGTGGAGCAAGCTGTAGAACCTACGCTGTGTTGATTGATAATGTGCTAATATTCATAAATCATTCTTGAACCATCAGTACATTTTGTTAATTTGTATAGAAGGCACACATTACATCGTTGTATTCTACATTTCTAACTCTGAATTGTTACTAAATATATGTGACTCCTTCCAGAATGCTGGAAGGAAATATATTAGTATAGCAATATATAGCAAATAAGAGGTGGAACTGACCTTTTAGAAAACAATACCACAGTATGTTTAAATTTCATAGGGAACAGCTAGCTTACCTTTAAAAGAAGCTATAACCTCAAAATATTTCTTGTTACAGTTTGAGCAAAGTGTTGACTAGAAAAGTATCAAACTAGATTAGCCTAATCATGGGAGAATAGCTTCTACAAAACTCTTTCATAGAGTGAATCACATTTAAAACTTTACAATCTTTTGTTTTCTCTGAAATGCAGTAACTAGGAATCATTGTGTGCAATAACAAGTGTTATGTTGCTGCTAAAGCTGTATAAGCCTCATTTCAACACCATGTTCAGCTTCAGAAGTTTGGAAACTGCTGTTACGCATAAACAAGGGCTGATCTTTCCATCTGTTCACGTGTGTAAGAGCCTCACTCGCCATTTTTATTACACAATGCTTTGAACACATTTTTGATAGGTTTGTACTGAATACAGCAGCTTCAAGTGTATGGTAGGCACTTTATTGATTTTTTCCATGAGTTACTTTTATCAGTGGTCCTAGCTTTTTAGTTATTCGTGAGAATATTATTACTGATTTTGTATCCAGTTTGCTTCAATAATTCACGTTTCTTCTCTTGGTTCATGTATCCTTGAAATACCAATGATTTTGCATGGAGGGTTTTCTTTATAAGTAAAATGTGTTATTTATCTCCACTGTATTTCTAAAAACACATTGTCACGACATGCACAAACATTCATTGCTGATGTGATGTTGATTCTACCATTTTCAGCACGGACTCGTTCGTGTCACTTTTTGTATGGGCAGAATTCAAGTATCAAATTATGCTACATTTATTGAAGTCGAAGCAATGATAAAATGCTAGATGCACTCAACAGAGCTTCAGCTTAAAGCAATTTTTGTAAAAAGATAATGTCATACTAGAATGGCTAGTCTGATAGGGTATATCCGGTGGTAGTTTTCGCCAAACTTTGATAACTGTAAAGTAATGTAGCCTACAATCTACAAGAGCATTACAACTACCTTGCACATTCTATAGCTACTTTTAGTAAGCTCACATCAAATGTGCCAGAAAATCTTCCAATGACAGCAAAATAGACACTATCAAAAGGCCCAAACACATTCCTTGCGACAATCTTGTACATTAAGCCATCTGGTACAACTAGGCCAGCAGCTCCTGGCAGTGAAGGTTTCCAGGTTTCCGTTACAGGCCGATTCCAAAAGGAGCCAAAAGCAAACACAAACCTCACCATTGTGCCACATGTGCAGTAAATAAATTATCTGCATCAAAATGAATGCTCAAAGCAATTGTGTAGCAATTTAGACTCTTGGAAATATAGCATATAGACATGCTAGCAGCAATGATCGCACCTTTACATAATCCATTCATATTGCCAGTGCACACGCCAAGAGTGATTAGATAGGTCCCTTCTGAAATCCTGCTGACAATAGAACATTTCAGAAAAATGTTGTATGAATGGAGGTGAGCAGACAAGTGTCTCAAGACTGTTGTAAATGTAGGCACTATTCAGAAGGAACGTCGACTGTGGCACTATTGGACCGCCCATGTCAGATCATGGGTCTGAAGGAATGAATACAGTAAACACGTTTTGGGGAGAAAACCAAAGAATTCTAAAATCGAATCAGCACCCTATGGACAGCACTTGTGGGTTTTTAGTGAGCCACTGTTGTGTTAGCCGGTTGTTTGCTAGCAGACTGAAGTCTCGCCGTGCTGGATAGCGCTGAGATTTCGATAGAGTTGTGGGCATACTTGCCGAAGGTCGAAAGCTCTTCGGGTAGTACCTTTCCATTTGTCCTCCCTCTGACCACCATTCAAATGTACGCCATAAAACTGGTGCCAAAATTAAACCACTTGTCTGTAAGTCGCATGGTCTTGAAATGGTCTCCGTGCATTCTGCATCTCCAAACACAGGTTTGTCACAGAGGGGCAAAGATTTAAGAGTGGGACAATAAAGAGGGCAAAGCCACCAGTGAAAAGCGACGTGTCTACATATAGAACCTACTTGTACAACATAAAGCAAAGAAAATAAACTGGCACCACTCATATTTATAAGCAGTTGGCAAATCAAAACTTGTCCGGGTTTGCCTCATAACCAGGGGGGACACAGACATTGCTAATAAGCATTGCAGGTAGGAACCTTCGCTGGTGCCATTTTTTCAGGATTGGGATCCACAATAATAAAGCTCCACCTAACAGAACCCAATATGCATCACTACATTAAAGGGGCACTGACACCCCAAAGGTCGTATTTATTTTTATTGTCTAAAACGATGCAAGTTGCAGTCATAGACACGCAAAAAAAACCGCATCGCGAAAAAAAATTTTCCCGCGCGCGCGCGCGCCTTTTTATTTTTGGCGTTTGATTTTCCCGCCTCTCGCCTCCTCGCTTCTTTTGATCGGTGACGTCAAAAATCAGGAAATTTAGAAGCTTTGTAGGCGACATCTCTATAACATTTAATTACGGCAATCCTAAAACATGTTTTTTAACGCAATTGCGAACGCACTACGGCCCTTCTTTTTGAAATACCAAAAATCGGGAGTTCGTTGTGGTGCCGTCTCCTGGATTTGTATCCTCCAACGGAAAAGAGGCGACACCGCTCAAAACCGGTCCGCCTGCGCTCGCTCCTTTCCTCCTCGCTTTGGGTCGCCATGGCAACAGCAGGGAGTGTTGAAAGGAAGTCGACTCTCAGGTCTCCGCGATTTTTGACGTCAAGGCACCGGCGCCGATCGCGCGGGAACTTCGAATTCGGCATTTGGAAATTGTTTTTTTACTTCACAAATACTGAACTCCCAAATTTCGAATTTTGAGGGTAATGTCCCGGCATCGTTTTCAATCGTTTCGGATAATAAAAAAAAATATGATTTTGATGTGTCAGTGCCCCTTTAAACACCGAGCAGAGATTTTTTTTTGCTTTTGTTACCAGAGCGTTTTGCAGCTTATGCATTGCAATAGACCATATACTTTTGGCCCTAGCGGACAGTACAAAATGTGTCACTCTAGGAGTACTTGGCAGCTCTTGCCTAGGATGGTAGCAAACTGAAAGCTAAACAGAACAGAGGTTATTGTCATTTTAACTTTGAATCCCCCCTCTTTCCCCGCTTAAACTACGTCAGCCAAAACTCCGCACACTAACCCCAGACCAGGCACTGATTCATCCGTTTTCTGACTTCAAATCATTCTCCGACATGTTTTTTTTTTTTTTTTTCTTTCAACAAGCGTATTTGCACCCTAAAGCTGTGTCGCCTACCTTAGGTTCTGTCGCCAAGCGTATAAGCACTTTGTCTCCCCAATTAACCTGGTGCGATTCCCACAGAAACTGCTACCTTCGACAGTAGTGCTCCGATCCATTGAAGGGGGATCAGTGCATTCTGCACAAAGGAGTCTATGGCAGTTTACGAAACTAAAGTATGCATTGGGAACACCTTACCTTACGGTGTGTATTCATTGCTGCAAATTTCTCAAGCAAAACAAAAACAAATTTGCCTCACAAAAAAAAAAAAACGCTTTTTTGAACATGATTGTAAACCTGAGACTGGGGCAGAAAGAGAACACAACAGAAGGTAGTAAAAGAGGAGGCAACGTCTCCTCTTTTACTACCTTGAGACGTTGCCTCCTCTTTTACTACCTTCTGTTGTGTTCTCTTTCTGCCCCAGTCTCAGGTTTACAATCATGTTCAACTTACACCAGCTCGCCTGCACTCTGACTATTTTTTCTTTAGCTTTTTTATTTTGGTGAAGGAGGAACAGCGGAGCTGTAGCTTCTGTTCTCGGCAGTGGCTTTCAGGCGAGTGATCTGCTCTCCTTTTGCAAAGAAGTCTGAAGCGCGCGACGCAGTGTAACTTCAGGCGATAGCGGCCTCGTGGCGGTCACCAAACCATTTGCACTGTTGCGCACATCGCCACTCGTTCCGTTCCCGCTCTTCCTCTGAAGAAATTTGCCACCATCTATGAGCGACGGCGGCAAGCGGACAACCGGCAGACAGAACACTCTGGACAGCTACCGCCATCTATGAGCGATGGCGGTAACCAGAGTGTTGTGTCGGCCACAGGTGTCGACATTTTTTTTGTACCGGACACAATCCTGGGGAAACTAGCCCTTAACAGCTCCGCTGTAATATACAGCCCCACAATGGTGGCATGTTACATGGCAAGCTCTGCCTCTCAGTAAAACTTAATTCCCGCAAACGATTTGAAAACGCAGCACCTTTGAATATTTTTGAAATGTTAATATCTTAAATAGGAAGAGATTACTGGACTTGTTGGCAAAGGTGCAGTTGCCCAATCTGCCTGTCGCATCCAAAAACATTGTTCGGCCTAGAACACAAGACTAGGGGAAAGGAAAAAGTAAGGGAGAAAGGATTGGGTACAAGAATTGGGTGAAATTCTAGTACCTTCTAGCAAGAACTGCTGTTTGCATCCCTACATGGCGTCGACTTTCGGGATGGAATCTATCATGTTCTTTCCACGAGTGTGTTGGAACGATGTGCATTGCGTGGTAGTCGTATTTCAGACTTTTTCAGAATGCCTTAAATCTGTATCAAGGCAACAAAGTTGTTGAGAACTCTTTTCAGCAGTTTTTACAATTTGTGTAGCACATGCTATTGAAGTCTGAGTAACATAAGGGAGGCTTTGAAAGCATTTTCACCTTCAATGCTCTTGTTGCGCCAGCTGACACTAAAGTCACCACAAAACTGTGTGAATCATCTTGACAAAATAAACCTTTTGCAACCAGTTCCAATGCAGATGTTGTGGTGCCAAAGATACTATTGGAGAGCGGTAAAAGGACTCCTGAACAATTGGCATAGAGTGCCTATATTACACTTCTATAGTCGCCGATTCGGACCGCATAATATGTAGGAAGTATTTAGAAAAGGTGCAGGCTGGATTTTTATTCTTTGCCTGCTATTGCAAACAAAGGGAAAAAACAAAACAAAAGCAACTTCTATTTTATAAAAAAATAAAAAATGCTATACAGGGTGCATTTTTTTTCCTCTCCAGGGCAACAAGCGCAAGGCTGGCAAATAGGAGACAGATGAACAGTATGGGCACGCTTTTGCACTTCCAACCTTTCGCCGGTTGCACAGTGACAACTTTAGTGCACTGCCGTGCAACACACATGCTCCAAGCATGTGTGTCTTAAATCAATCTAAAATAGATTGATTTAATGGTTTTCGATGACGGTCAGCTAGTTTCTAATTAGAGCCAAACGTTTATCTTCACTAATTAAGAAAGTAAGTCAACAAATTTTAGTTACTTGACTTATTGTCACGACTAGCACCCATATTATGTCCCCCTGGCTACAAACTTGTCTGCACAAACTGCATTAGTGTAGTTTTATAGCTTTCTAAAAAAACAAAAGTAAAGCAAAAAAAAAAATAAAAAATAAAAACACCTGTAATGTTGGCACACAAGAAATGAGAAAGGACTAGAGAAACTGAACACAACTCCCCACAAATAATGGACATAATTTTAACATAACATTCATAAAAAAAAAAGTGCAACAAAATTTGAGGTGTTTGTTTATTAAACATACCTTTCATTTTTTTTTCACACTTTAGAAGGAACAACGAAAACTTGCTTTGCATCCTAAAAACAGGTTACCTTATTTCCATTTTGGCAAAAAATGTACGTCAATAGGTTAAAACAGTGGTGATAAGAAAACTAAACAAAAAATAGCAGGGACATTCTCACCAAAGGAACATTATCGCCATACCCTGTTGCAGGTTAAGGAAAGCAGGGCAAGCTCCTTCCATGAAACCCTCCACTCTTCCCACTTAGCAGAGCGAATGCAGGAGAGGAGGCAAGGAAAAACTCTCCTCCTCTCTGGCATTCGCTCTGCTAAGTGGAAAGAGTAAAGGGTTTTTGTGGGAGGGGCTGCAACAGGGTATAACACAGCACATGTAAAAGGCACATTGACAACAAAGACTGTACAGATAGTATACTAAATAAGAATGACTCAAATCCGCAGGTGGACATACTTGATTCAATCCATCTATTTACACGAGAACCCTGGCAGTTAAACGCGTGGCAATGAAGGCAATTTACTTTGAATGAGGCACAGATGCACCTCCGACACTATGCCTTTTGCTCAAGCATTCTGTTGGTTATTGTGCTCCTCAGCTTGTGGTACCTCCTCGGCTTGTGCACTGTTTTCGGCATCCTCTTGAGATGGTTCCGGGGTGTTAATCTTCAGCTTGTCTAGCATAGTAACAATACTAGCCATCTGGGTAGGGGCAGGGGCAAGCAGCTTTGCATGCTTCAGTATTGCCTTGCCGATGGGCTTGATGTTCGCCACAAGAACAGGAGCATCTGCAAGCGTGACAATTGCAGAGTTTTACGGACTGATGCGCTAACCAAGATATTTTTGTCCCATGCTCCACAAACCCCTCATAAGATGTATAATTCTGTGAGTAGCGAAGGATACCACTAATCATGGTTAGAAAATTAAACTGGATGCAGGCTAAGACAGAGCTACGTGTTTTTGCCGTTCAACGGTTGCAACACAGGTGATGCTTTTGCAGTGGATCTTCTACAGCGAAGAAAAGGAAACACGTTTGAATTTATCCAGGGGCCTGGACTACTTACTACCCTGGCCCTTCCTTCTATTATGATGTCGGAGTAAAGGCGGTTATTTTAACTCCGAGCGACAGCTCCCACGTTCGTGGCTCAGACGTGCATCCAACTCGTCCAGAGTCGTCGAGTGGCGAGCACGCAAACGGTGAGCCGCCTGAGCAGCTTGGTCATTGAGACAGCACTCCCGAGCCCATCCGACAACTCAACCGGCTGGAATCCTTTCAATTATAATCTCGGTATTTTGTCTAGCTTTGAAGACCAGGGCTGTTTATCGACGAAGTTGGTATGTGGCACAGCTCAACAATAACAATAAGTCAACAGTCAACAATAAGTATTTTGTGGGAAACATCACGGATTAAGTGATCTTTGGGCTTTGCCTCTTCTGACAATTATCTGCATTGACATTCAGAGGTCCCTTGCTGATTAATACACCTTGTTGCGACATTGCTCGTGGTCCGACCAGTCGTAGAAACTGTATTGTGTTCTGTCGACGAGCGGCAAAATTGCGATATTGACTGGCAGAGGACGTAGGTAATGCTTGCGGGTAACTTCCAAAGAAGATGTACTAGAGCTGTGCCACATACCAAATTCGTCGATAAATAGCCCTAGTACATCTACATCATCAAGTTTTCCGAAAAAGAGGATTAAAGAAATATACCGCTTTTGTCCTCAGGCAACAAAGGAGCATGTGCGTCAGTGGCAATGCGTGCAAATGTTCTTGGGCCACATTAGTGCCAATAAGCTTGTGTAAAGTAAAAAATATTTCAATCCAATACAGTCAAAACTCGATCTAACGAAGTTGAGGGGAGCCGCAAATTACTTTGTTAAATCGAGTCATTTTTCAGACATTTCGTTCGGTAAATACTAAGTCTTAACGCAGTGGCATCGTGAGAACTACCATGGTATTGATTTTAAGTGTCCACGCACTGAAATTTTAAACAATGCACGGAAAAATCAGCAAAGGGGTCACACTGCTTGTGCATGCAAAAAAGAAAAAGAAAACCTCAGAGCTAGCGGGAGATTTATTTTGTAGCGAAGAAGCTCGTTAGCTTTGCCCGCATGCACTTTGTCAAGAGCGGACGTACGGACTTCTCGTAGCTCATCGGCTCCGACTTTGTTAACACTAGCCGACTCCCCATTTAACACTTTTCCTACAATGCCGTAGCATTCTTGAAACCGTGACAACCAGCCGCGGCTTGCCTTGAACTTGTCGTATCCAAGCAAATACGCAAAAGCGCGTGCTTTCTGCTATACCACGTCACTGGTGAGTGGAATGTTTCTGGCTCGTATATCCATGAATTAGGTGAAGAGCGCTTCTTCCAATTTTTCCTGTGGAGTGGTCTTCAGGTCTTTCTTCTTGGACGGATGCCCAAACGAAGTGGCACTCAATGTTGTCAGTTGTGGCACTAATGATGGTGTCCTTCGATTTCAAGATTGTCAAAAGCGTGCTGGCTGGGATGCCTTGCTCTGCGGCAACTTCACATTTCTTCCCTCCGCTCCTGACAGCACGAAAGGTATCCACTTTCTCTTCAAGGGTTAGCATATTTCTTTTCCTCTTGGGGCACGCCATTTTTCAGCAACGCGGAACATAGTGGATTATATATCGTACCCAGAGAGAACCGGTCGCGGGAAGAGACAAGCAATGAAAGAAATTGAGTCCTAACAGACCAACAAAGACTATGAACAAAGAGCAGAGACTATCGGTGCCATCCGCCGCATGCGACACGAAGCAACCGCCGATTCAAAGCCATGCGGAGAATCCGTAGTTCCGCACACTTTCGTTCTGTAGGGTACCTTCTCCGGTACCTCGGTTCTACCACTGGCATGTGAACGGCAAGTTTCGATTCCTTCTGGGCGAAAAAAAATGTAGAACAACCTTTTTTTTGCCCATATTTTTTTTTTCAGAAATACTTCGTTATTTTGGGCTTGAGGGTCAATTCACTTCGTTATTTTGAGTTCATATATGCATTAGGCCCTGTCGGAAACTTCGGACGAAACACAATTTGTTCGTTAGATCGGGGAAGTTCGTAAGATTAGGGTTCATTAAATCAAGTTTTGACTGTTTTTTTTTTTTTTACACCGTCCCTTTAAATGTAATTTAGGCTGTCGCTGGCAGCCTACCTCGTCTAGGTTTCCATTCTATTACAGTATAGACCACTTACAACGTAACCGCTTATAGTGCAGGACCGGGTATAACGCGGCTTTTTTAAACCACCGGTTCGCCTCCCATAGAACTCCATGTATTTACATACCGCTTAAAATGCAGGCGCGCGAAAGGAAATACCGGTTATAGTGCGGTTTGTGGAAGAGCCCGGCGGCCGTGCCGACTGACCGGCGCAGCGAGCACGCTTCCCTTTGCGGCGCTAGATAACGGCGCGAGCCGCGAGCGGCACTCGCGGGGCAAAGAGGTTTCTTGAAGAAACCGGGAGATGCGGAGAGAGAGGCTGCAGTTGCCATAGCGACGGAGGGACGCATGCACGTGTCGTTCTCGTGCGCGCGTCCCTCCGCTGCGATGGTTGGAATACAACCGCAACGACAGACCAATCGCAGGTCGAGGAGAAGTGTTCGCGCGCGTTGCATGCCGGCAGTGCGTACACACTATTGGCTCTCTCCTTTCCCCCCCAACCTCTATTACAACGCTTCTCCTCCTCTCCGGTCGCGGGCCGGCTGCGTCTATCCGCAAACATGGCGTTGGTTTTGATCGTCGACGTAGATTGCGTGATGGAGGCTCATCGTTCCGCGTAAAAGCGCTACCCTTGACTGTGAATTTTCGTTGTGTGTCGTTATGATAACCCAGCACGTACTAGAAGGGAAGATCCACCTACTCGTGCGGCGATGTCGTGGCGGCACTCTCAAGACGGCAGAAACGCCCGTGTCGTCGTGTTTGTTTACTTCGACTAGAGTGGTGCTTTCTGTGTTTTCGAACATCGCCCGGATTTCTTATTTGGAGCATTTCATGCCTGTGCTCAAGTTGAAGGTATTACTGGCGCGTACTGTATAAAGGATGCGAATTTTCACGTGTTGCTATCACCGGAGATAAGTGATTAGGGTTAGCAATCCTGAACGCTCGCAACGTCCGTCCGCAACCCGCGACGCTGTTAAAAGGCTGCGCCAGGCAAAAGTCGCTCATTTCTTTCAAAATGTGTGACACACTTGAGACAGAACTGTTCTAGTCTGGTGAAATAAAGACTTTCCCCAAACTAAGCTTTATTTTTCACCTAACATAAAGTAAATTCTTTTACAAAGGTAAGTAGTCTCATGGCATGTATTTTGGCCTGAAAAATTGATGTTTTGGTTATAACGCGGTACCGCTTATAGTGCGGATTTTTGCGACTCCCGCGACATACGTTATATGCGGTCTACACTGTACTACTATGTTGCAAGTAAAGACTCCCACCTGACTGCTTACAAATGGCGAGAAGACTGATCAGCTTCTCCGCATATTCAGGCGTTGCCAGGCCCATCATGAAGAAGGACTTGGAAGCATTCAGGTAAATCTGATAAGAGAAACAAGGAACACACCACATTCACAGCATCCACTTATGCTTGAAACACCTTCCTACCACTAAAAACCTGCCAGCACGATCACAGGTGGAAAATTTCAGAGATGCATTTTGAAAAAAAAACAGTGTACTAAAAAGAGATGGCGATGTCCAAAACTGCTAGGGTCGTGTGCAACTGGCACGCAGAAATCTCAAGGCAGCTGATATTGCTCCACAGGCTATAGAGGGGTCACGAGAATAACACATTTTTAATGCGAAAAAACTCTCATGGAACGAGCCAACATCATCAGCTTTGAAACCACTCCAAACGGCTCTTTTACACCCCCTTGATCCCATTGGCTAGCGCGCGTCAACCAGGCTTCCATTCGCCGGACACGCAGCGCCGTGGGGTGGCTGGTCGTTGAAACTGATGCTGCACGTCAGTTTCAACGACTGGCCACCTCATGGTGCTGCGTGTCAGTCACCGCTAGCCAGAGTTGCGCGTTCACCTCTGTTGCGCCGTCTTTTTTGCATGGCATGCTGATCCCGCTCCTCACATGATGGAATTCGGCAAATAGCGGTGCCACGCGTTCAAGGAACGTGGTGCGCTTAAAAGCAGGGGAACGTATGCCGGGGCACGTGCAACATCTGCTTTCCTGCATGGCATTTGATCCAGCTCCTCACGTGATCGGATCTCGGCGAATAGCGGCACAGCAACACGTGGAAAACAGACGCGCAACTCTGGCTCCCGTAGGGAGCCTATACAGGAACTCTAGTTAGCGCCACTCAGCGCGCCAACACGCGTAGAGCAAGACTGATGTACATGCTTTTGCATTCACAACTCCTAAGAAGTGCTTAGGTGTACCTCAATATTTTTTACTCGCACCTCAAAAGATCATGATAAAACATGGTTAGAGATATCGAGCAACATCGTACACTGTAATTGGAGGCTTATTTGGAGGCTTAACATTTCGTGAATTTTCTAAGCTGCCGCAACTGGTAGACTAACTCCTCTTTGATAATATACTCGTAATAAATTCTTTTCCACCGTTTCACATACGAGAAACGAAGTCGCCACAAAATACAGTTTTTTTGCAGTTACCCAGTGTTCTAGACTCTCTGATCGTCGTACTCTCTTCTGACATTCTGGCAATATAAACCAGTTCAGAAGCCTATGCAGGCACAGAGGGCAGTAAGTATTTACAAAATTGTAGGTTGATCCCCCACACTGCTCGTTGGCAAAACGAAAAGAAGTTATACTTTAGGGGCGTATTTTAAGGCGGACATGTGAAAACGGCAGGGAGTCTTTCGAAAGTCTGACCTCCAGCACAATCGATGCCTTCTGGCGTGCTTTGGGCTGCGCGCGCACGCTGAGGCGCGTGAGATACTGAAGCATTTTCGAAGCTAGGAAGCTCGCGCTTAAAGCGGGACAACCGAAGCTGCTCCCCGTCATTCTCACTGTCTGCGACTAGAGACTATGATTCGTCCGCACTGGTGCCGTCATTCCAGTCGTCATCGCTGCCAAGTTCCTAAAGCTCGTCGTCCGTGTCGTTTAACAATATCTTGCAATTTGCAAACGACCGCATCTTCCGCGCTTGCTTGGTGATCGCGTTGCACATCACGGGTAGGGACCAGTCGCGCACATTTGCAACATACGTTGCAAGCCTGACCTCTAGCTCCAAGAGACCTCTTTGTTTGCTGTCACGCTTAAGATCCTGCACCGTTGCAGATGCCACTGGCTACACACCCACTCCGAAAAGTCTAACTTGCGTCTAGCAGCGCAGTTGTTGGTTACCTTTGAATGAAGGATGGCTGTAAACGAGCACCGAGAACCTAAACTGCCCGCACCAAGCGTGTCAACACAGAGAAAGGTAGTTGGCCCTCCAGCACGGTCGCACAATCTTGACCCTCGATCGAACGATGTGTACCCGTGCATCGCGTAAAGACAAGCAGCGAGGAGTGAGGTTGTTCCAGCAGCCATTCTGGCGTGGTTCTTACATGAAGTGCCGCCACCCCCAAGACACTGGCGTGCTGCCGCACTGCGCGGTGTATTGCTGGTACCACTGGTATGCGCGCCGTTCACCGTAAAAGTAATAGTTGTCATGCAAATTAAAAAAAAAAAAACTTGTAAAAATGGTGCACAGAATGGCGCAATGCTACAGGTACAGCCAGCTGAACTTGTAACAAGCTAAGGTGCTCTTGATATCGCAATTGTTTCATTTTTTCAGTGGTGGAATGCTTTGGTTTGATTGTAAGTGAACCCCCACTACAGATTTTTAGAAATTAAAAAAGGAGGCTGACTTAGAGTCATATAAATATGGCAATGTGGTGCAAAGACAGCAGTCCACTCGTCTCGAACAAACCCTTCACCATAGTCATCATTATGTCATAGTCATCATTCCTCAGCAACATGCAGGCCACCATGAGATCTAGGGTAGTAGTTGTTTAACATGGAAGCAGTTTGCTAAAAGAACAAATGGACTGTGACAACAGCCAAGGCTTAATCACTCACGGCAGCAAGATGTCACTTACCTCCACAGTGCGGATGGAAAGAGCCTTTTTTGTGCCCTCTTGAGCTGGGATCACTGGCACCAGACTGTCTTTGATCCAAAGCAACTGGAGCTCTAGTGTTGACACTGCCACCAATTTGGCTCCAGAAGCCTGGTAAAGAATTGTCCGGAACATTTAGTCATGGGCAAAAAGTACAAGGGGGCACGGGGGGGGGGGGGGGGGGGGGGGGGGGGGCTGGTGTTTCTTTTAGATTATTTCAGGAAACGGGTGCAAAGATGGAATGCTTTTTTAATTTGTAGGTAGGAAGTAGGAAAAAAAGATCTACAATGCAGAGTTGAGCATGTGCCCAAAATGTGCCTTTTAAGTAATGCACGATAAAACTCTTAAAAGTTCAGTTTTTGAAGGACATCTTATCAGCCCCTTTCTACCCTCTTTCCCAGTCTGCGCAACAAACAAACCTTTGCCACCCACCTCACCCCGGGGGAGAAAAAAGAATTTCAACACCTCTGCCTTCAATAGAAACTTAAAAAAAAACAACATACAAAGCCTATGATGAAACAACCTATACGGTGCGATTACCTGCATGGGGTGCGCTACTGCTACATTTAATGGCATTCGTTTCATCCCAAGTGGCACCTAAAGGCTGTCAAATATCACCACGTGGAGAGAATTTACCTACCGTGCAGTGGACAGACAGGAAAAATTGGTACTGTAGAAGCATGACACTAGCTTACCAGAAAAAATCAGCTATAGTTACTGACAGACTGACAATGGCAGGGCAAGTCTTTCGAACGCCCGTCCTCCACCACGCGCAGCCAAAGCCTTTGGGCAGGCTTTGGCTGCGCGCGCACGCTGGAGATGCTGAAGCGTCGTCGAAAGTAGGAAGCACATGCTGGCGGCAGGACAACTGAAGCTCCTTCATGCCATTCTCACCTTGTCGGTGACTATAAACCCTAGAACTTGCATTAATAAAAAATACTAGTAGTTTCTTCTTGGCAACATGACTAGCTAAGCCTCCTTCGACCCTGTCAAGAAATAGTACTGTAGGAAAAGTTTGTAGGAAACTGTCGAGTCTACAAGTCGATCCTGGCTGCTAGTGGACGAGGACGAAGAAGGGGGGATAGGAACGGAGCACGAGATGGAGCAGTTGGTCTTTCTGTCATGTCTTATACCTAGTTGCTCATATTAAAAACATAACAATTGGCGCAGCCGACAAAGCCTCAACTCCAGCATGAAAGTCGATCCACCACTGCCTTTCCTACCGGCCCCAGGCAAGCCTGCAACTCCATGGAGTGAATGGTACGGCATTTTCGAGACGTACATGATCACTTCCGGCGGGTCGACGATGGCAGACGCCAGAAGAACGGCCATCCTACTCAGTTCACTTGGAGCTGAGGGTGAACGGACCTGCCGCAAGCTATCTCACCTTCCAGACATGTCCGCAACAAACTGCGGTACATCACCAAGTACATCAACTGCTCCTTTGGAATCGGGCACTCCTGCAAAACCCGTTACCACAGCCTACGAAGCAGCGGTCAGGAAGTTGCAAAAATTCTTCATGCCGGCCATCAACAAAACGGCCGAGAGATTTGTTTTTCGGTCCTGTGCTCAGATGCCCGGTGAGGCAGCGCAAGAGTACGTTACAGCCCTCCGTGGCCTTGCCACCAATTGCCAATTCAGAGTAATGACAGATGAAATGATCTGTGATCACCTCCTCGAAAAAACGGCCCATTCCGAAGTTAGGACCCGCCTCCTCCTAAAGTCCGAGCTTTCCCTGGAATCTGCTATGGCCATCGCCTCTCAAGTTGAGCAAGCGATGAAGGAAGCCAAGCTCTTGACGGAAGAGGGATCCAGTTTACAAGTGGCGAAAATAAAAGCCGAGAATTCGATAGCAAGTTTCAGCAAGTCGTCCGGCACTTGTTACAGATTTGCGTCACCGCACCACATGGCGGACCACCCTAAGTGCCCGGCAAAGAACGAAGCTTGCAGAAAATGCAACAAGAAGAGACACTTCGCCTCCGTTTGCAAGCAGGGAGTTTCACAAGCAAAATCCCATGTACGAAGAGTGGAACAAGCGCACGACCAAGTCCAGCTGCTAACTACCAGCTTTACCAAACAATCGGTTACGTGCGATGCATCTGGCCCATGTTCCAACCGAACTTTCAGTCGACACAGGTTTACCCATTTCAATCCTGCCGGAAGACGTCTACCGGAGACACTTCCACCCTTACAAGCTGGAACGTTCAAATACAACACTTCTGGACTACTCCGGAAAAGACATTCCCGTTCTGGGGAAATTCGACGCACCCGTGCAGTTCGCGCAAAAACATGGCACCTGCACATTCCATGTCGTACGAACAGGCGTGGCTGTCATGGGCCTGAACGCCTTCATGCGTTGGACATTCAACTAAACTTTGCTCCTCCCAACGGTGGACAAGTGGCAACGGTCTCCGCGAGAAACCTTCCAGAGATCGCGCAAGTGTTCCCCCATCTCTTCTCCGAGGGATTAGGTCATGCAAAAGGATTTGTACATAACGTAAAGACGAAATATTCCGTCACTCCTTTCCAACAAAAGCTACGAAGACTACCTTTCGCAGTGCGCGAGAAAGTTTCTGAGGAACTGGCGAAGCTGGAACGCTCCGGGGTTATCGAGCGCATCGATGTTACGGAGTGGGTGTCTCCTATCGTGGTGGCCCGCAAGCAGAATGGGGAGATCCGGCTCTGTGTAGACCTACGCAAGCCAAACACTGCAATAGTTTTGGATTCCCACCCTCTACCGTGCCCCGACGAACTTTTTCATCAGCTTTCCGGTGCCCGCGTCTTCAGCAAGCTAGACCTCTCATCGGCGTATCACCAGTTGGACCTGGCAGAGGAAAGCAGAGACCTAACGGCATTTGTGACGCATGAAGGTCTCTTCAGGTTCACCAGAGTATGTTTCGGGCTGGCATCCGCCACCCCCGCCTTTCATAAAATGATGGACTGCATACTCCGAGGTACTCCAGGTACCATCGTCTACCTGGATGATGTACTTATTTTCGGACACGCAAGAGAAGAGCAAGATGCCCACCTGCGGCAGGTTCTTTCACGCCTTCAAGAGGCAGGCTTGAAACTAAACCAGCAGAAATATCTTTTTGCAGTCCCGCAGCTTCAATTCCTAGGACATGAGCCGACACTGCAGGGAATCAAGCCATGCCAAGATAATACTATTGAGGCTATCATGCAGGCTTCACCCCCCCAGACATAACATCACTACGATCGTTACTCGGCCTGCTCACATATTACCTCAAGTTCGTACCAAACTTTGCGACCATTGTGGAGCCTCTGCACGTGCTCCTGCGGAAGGATGTCCCCTTCCAATGGAAAAAGGCACAAAATGAGGCATTCACTGCTGTCAAGAATCTCCTACGGAACTGTGTTCCACTGGCTGCTTTCGACGTGGCGCTGCCCACCGTCGTGACAACGGATGCATCTATGCTTACTGATTACCAGCTGAACGATTCTGAACGAATCTAATTACGGATTAGGCGCGGTTCTACGGCAAGTACATCCGGAAGAAATTTGAACGGTGTCGTTCGCATCGCGAACACTTTCAAGCGCCGAACGAAACTACTCTGCAGGAGAGAAAGAGGCATTGGCGTGCCTTTGGGCCTGCGAGAAATGGCACGTTTTTCTCTTCGGGTGCCATTTCACACTCATCATCAGGCTCTCATTACTTTGCTTTCTACACAAGGAACCGGTCGACAACCAATGAGGATAGCCAGATGGGCTATGCGACTCCTCAGGTATGACTACGAGGTACATTACCAGAAAGGAAACGAGAATGTCGTAGCAGACGCACTGTCACGCCTGCCTACTCCGAATCCTTCAGATAGCAGCGAGTGTAGTGACAAGCGTAGTGACAACGAGGAAGAATTCACTTGCCTGGTACGCAATTTATGCACAATCGATCAAGAAGAAATCAAGAAAGAAACCAGGCAAGACCCTGATTTGCCTCAAGTAATTCAGTGTATCTGCACCGGATGGAGTCACGAGGAACAACGTGATAAAGTACTATCTACATACTACAAGTTGCGAGAAGAGCTTTCCTTTGTGGATGGCTCACTACTATGTGGTGAAGTGTTGGTTCCACCCATTTCGCTACGGCGTCGACTCATCGATCTAGCTCACGAGTAACATCCAGGAATTGTGTGGACGAAGCAGCGTCTATGCCAGCGCTTCTGGTGGCCCAGAATGGACATCGAGGTTGACACCTACATTAGAGACTGCCACACCTGTCAGACGAACGACAAGACAGCTGTGACGGCGGCGGCACCCCTACAACCAGTTCCATTACCATCAGGGGCATGGAGACAACTAGGAATAGACATTGTCGGACCTTTCTACAAACTTCCATCGCAATTCAGATTTGCAGTCACCCTAGTCGACTACTTCAGTAGTGGCCAGAGGTAGCTTTTTGTAACCAAGTTACGGCTGAAGCTGTATGTGAATTCCTCATTAGAATCTTCAGCCGGGAAAGGTATCCGGAGGTGATTGTTTCTAATCATACCCCCAGTTTGAATCCCGCATATTCCAGGATTTCCTGAAGTCCAGAGGGATTTCCCACCATCGGTCTGCGATATACCATCCATAAGCAAATGGTCAAGTTGAATGCTTCAACCGAGTGCTTAAGCAGTACGTCCAAACTATCATGCAGGAACAAGGCAACGTCCGTACAGGCCTTGAGGAGTTTTTGGGTGTCTACCGAAGCACACCACATGCAGCGATGAAGCTCTCCCCCGATGAGCTCACCCACGGACGTAAAATGTGGACCCGCATGGACGTCGTGGGCTTCCCAAGTTTTGACAAGCCCGTTCACATTGAGATGCAGAAACTCCGCGAATGCATTGCTGATTACCAGAAGCACAGCATGCAATACACAGAAGATAGGCGGAGAGCCAAACCATCTACAGCCGGGGTAGGAGATTATGTACGGGTAAAGATCCCTACACACCGACCGAAGGGAACAGCATCGTTTGGCCCCCCTGAAAGAATTAATGAAGCGGTGGGGCCAAGCACCTCCGTCACGTCAGGAGGAGAATGCTGGAATTCGTCGAGGTTGCCTCGAACACGCATTCCAGCAAGACACGAAGTACAGGTGGACTACGCAAATC